GTCCCGATCATTTTGCCAGTATTGGAACCGAGAGGAGTGCACATGGTCGAGCTGCAACAGTTGCGTGACCCCTTGGAGGGGGAACCGGATCACAACCCTTATTCAACGACTAATAACCCCTCGCCTCTGATCGCTAGCTTTGCTAGCTTCAGACTTTCGTCGGAGAGATGCAGGAACAGACTGAATCGAAAACTGAAGGGTGATGGTAAAGATCGCGTGAATATCTAATAAGTCTATTTGGATCGAAGAAGCTCCGCTTCGGTGTTCGTTGTTACTATTTATTTTTTATTAATTGTGTGTTTTAGTGATTTAATGTTCCCATTTGTTTTTTATTATTGTTTAAGGGAGTAACTTGTGATGGCTTAGAAATGCACTGTTTAATGTGAATTTGTGATACCCGAGTGCAACTGAGGTCTTATTTAGATAAAATTCGTGAGGAATTTTATTAATTCAATTTTGAAAAATCAAATATGTAAACTTGAAATTTTCAAATTGACAAAATTTTTTATCTTTAAAACGAAAACTTAATTTTAAACTCAAAGTAAAGTAGAAAGTAAACAAGTAAATACTGAAGCATCAATTAACATATACAAGCGTTCTTTATCTCAACAAAATTTGATAGATACTTTGACAAAAGTACAGCAATAACATTTTGTAATACAGAATATCAAACCTGAAACGGTTATTTTGGACGCTTGGTAGTTGTAGTACTATATTTCCAACTTTCAAACTTTTGAGTTTCTAAACTTTTTATTTTCCAAATTTCCAAATGTCTCAAACCTCTAAATTTCACAATTTTCAATTTTGTATTATCAAATATTCAGTTTTTCAAATTTCCAAATTCAGTCATTTCTAAAAGTTCTTGAACTTATAAATTATCAAATTCTGATAATTTCAATTTTTGACACTATCAAATTTTCAAATTCTAAGTTTTAAATTTGAAGATTTGTAAATTTACGAATACTTAAATTTTTTAATTTTTGCAACCTTTTTAATTTTCAAATTCTGAAATTTTTAAATATTTATGTTACTAAATCGTCAAATACACAAAACCCTAGAAGCTTAGATTTCCAAATTCCCAAATCTTTTAATTTTACAAAATGTTCATTTTTAAATATCTAGATTCTTAAATTATCAAATTCTCAAATTTCCGTATTTTTAAATCCGTAAATTACTAAATTTTCAAATTGAAAATATGTGAAGTTATAAATTTGCAAGCTTGTAATTGTGAACATCTCTAAATTTTTTAAATACATATAAATTCGAAAATTTGTTAACTGTACATTGATGTGACATTTCTCCTAGATCGTAATTTTTTCTATAGAAACTTACATTGCGAGTGTACATGTTATATGTAGAATACTTTTTTTATATATACATGTCTATTTATATATTTATAAATAATATTTTTTTCATTATTTAAATGCTACACATAACATTCTCTATAACCTTGAAAGTTGCTTGAAACCTTGCTCTAAAAATTATAATGTGATGTAGTTTATATTTTATTTATGGACGTGGTTTACGTTAACACTAAAGTTCTTTTTTAATGTACACATTATTTACAAAATAACGTACATTTTTAAAAATTATAAGTATTTTGTTTTAAGTATTTTATTTTATTATACGTAACACTTAAACGGTAAAACAAACTTATTTAAATGTTCTACATACAATCACGTACGACATGCTGAGTTCTTAAAAACAGTGCGTTTGTAAAGCTAGTACAGTGCTAATACAGTGTTGATTCCTCTGAATGTTTCGTGTATCTAATGCGCATAACAAAATTTAATGATCTACTTTTGTATCAGTTTATATATTTATACATGTTACAACCGATTTTAGTAAACATAAGAAGGAATGTTAAGAAGTGATCCTTTTATACATGTAAAATTCTTTGGTTAGTTAAAAAAAATTGTTTGTCCTCTCAAAAATACCAAGATATAATTAGAGAAGCACTTTTGCATAAATATTTAAGCAGGAAAAAAATTACAGTCGACATTCTCTGTTATTTTTTAGAAACCTGAGATTGCATTGTTAGGTTTCTCTTTCTCAGTATTCAAACAATTGAATAATGAAAATAAATAATAGCGCAAAATTTAGTGAAAAAACAGTGTATCAAAGTGTTATTTAAGTGTTATTTATTATTTATTCATTCTATTCATATATTTTTATAATATTTTTATTTTAATATTTTAAAGACTTGTGAATTAACAAGAAAAATTTTATTTTTCGAGAAGTGGCGGAAATTCGCTATACTGAGTAACTTAAAAGTTTGAAAATTTTACGTTATATTTTGTTATCAGATATAAGATGCTGAAAATAACAAACCTTTGGCATTTAAGCAAATAAAAACAAAACAAGTATATGCAAGGTATAAAAAATAATAGTAGGATTTTACGTTAATAAGTAAAAAAAAATTAAGCAGGAAAGTAATAATAGAAATTGCTTGCTAACACATGTTGGGAAACTGCAAATTTAATATATGTCTCAGAAATACTAAAAACTTAGTATTTTGGACATACAGAGATTTGGAAATGTAGAAATTTGAGAACAGAGAAGTTGGAAAATATAAACATTTGGGAATATAGAAATTCAGAAACAATAGATATTGAGAAATACAATAGTTTCACAGATACTGAAATTTGGAGATACAATTTGGAATACACAAATTGAGTAATACAGACGTGTAGGAATATAGAGATTTGGGAAACATAGAAATCTGGGAATATAAACAATTGAGAACGTAGAGATTTGCATGTATAAAATTTTAAAACATAAAATTTTGATAATGTAGAAATTTGGGAAATATAAACAGTTGGAGGTATCGAAATTTAGAAATATGTAGGTTTGTGACACTGATTTTCATTGTGGTTGATATGAAGAATATAATTATATGGTACTATTATATGAAATAGTTAATAATGCAATTAATAGATAATGCATTTTTACAAAAAAAGTTTCCTATGATTCAGTAGACTTTTTTCAAAATGACGGATACCGAAAAATTATGATATAGACACGCTATCACTGTGTCATGTGTGTTTATAGCCTCTTATTTTTACCCTGCAATTATCAACTTGAATCAAGTTTTTATATAAACGCACAAGAATCTGCGAAAATGTCAATGTAATTGTGAGCAAATTAATTGTACCAATTATTAACTCCTGACGAGCGGAGATTCTTCGAATTTCAAAATGATAATCATGGGATATTGAGCGTGAAAACATAAAAGGTTGTTATCGATCGTACTACAGTCAGCGAAATTTCTATAGTTTCATGTAGTATTTATTTGACATTTCATATAATTTGTAAAAAGTGATATCGCAATATAAAGTAGATTACCAAGACGTCTAATTGTCTTTAACGTAAAACGTGTGTTTATTTAAAAAATTATTTTGAAAAATATGTAATTTTAAAAAGCGATATGCGAAATCTATAGTTCCGCTTAATATAATTCTTCATTTAGAACATACAGCTAAATTTTTTTCTCCGTCTTTACGCGTTGATAACGTGCATTTTTACCACTTTCATGATTTACTTCAAAAATTTTATTGTTCATACTTTTAATTGTAGGATTGATATGTCCACATTACACCAAGCTTGATCTATACTGTTCCTAAGCTTCAGAACTGAAGCATATCGTTTTGCATGTGAGTATACATTACGAGCTAGAATTCCTGAAAGGTTTTCAATTGGGTTTAGGTCAAGGGATCAGGCAGGATAATGCTTTAACTGGATATTTTTAGTTTGGAATTATTCTTTTGTGAATCTTGTTTCTGAGCTATGGACGACTATTGAAATATTTCTACATACCTTTCGAAATTAATTTTCGATAATATCCATCGTATTGGTGTCTTCACTGTATAGTTAAATGCGGCTGAAATTATTGCGCTTCTATCGCCAGAATTTCAACTCATAGAGAGATTTTGATTTTTAATTTAATTTTAGACTTATAAACGCTTAACGACCACTTATATTTAAATTGAAACTAAACTATAAAAGTGACTAAATAATGAATAATACCAACTCAGCTTATACAATAATTCTCTATTTCGACGACAATTTTACTAAAAGCTTCTTAGTAATTTTCATAATTGAAAATAAGAAACCTAAGATCCTTCATTTTTACGGATTTTGTAAACCTAGTGTGCATAGAATACAGACTGAAAGGTGCTAATAGAATTTAATATCATCTGACTCGTTTAAATTAAACTTATTTCGTTTGAAAATCATGCGATTTTTTGCGTGATTTTTTAGAATTCTTGTTTCTTAATGGTCAAATGATTTTGAGACTTTTCATACAATAATTTGTAAAATTTGTTGTATGTGCCTTTTCATAACAGGCAGATTTTAATTATCTTACATTTGACCTGTTGTTACATTGTTATTTGTTGCAACTCGAAAAATTAACGGTGTATTTCTTCAAATCAATGTCTTATTTCCGCTCTTGGAATGATCTTTTTGATCTTAAGAAGATTTTATTCTTAATGCAATAAATTAATTTATTAATCACGTGATGTGACATTTTTATACATATTTAAAGCTATTTTTCTGTTAGAAGTTCCTTTACCATAAGCAGTTATTTCATCTTCTTTCCCTTATTTAAAAAATTAAAAATAAACTAAATTAATTTAAAAATAAAACTATGGAAATAAAATAAAATTAATATATTTTCTATATTTATCGGTATTTACACATGAGAAAAAGAAATTGACTGGAACTATAGTAATTTCGTTCGAATTTGCAATATAAAATCAAGTATTGCAATGATAATAAAAATAAATTCGTATCAGATACCAATGAAAACTAAATTGGTATTAAAGATAGCAATATAAACAAAATTGGCATCGGAGATAGCAATAAAGAAAAAGAAGTGAAATAGAAATAGAAATTCAACATCTCCGTATCCCAGTCGGTAACAATTAGAAACGCAAACGCATAATGATAAGGAATACGTAAAATTTATAGTGGAACTATGGAAATTTCGGTGACTGTAGGTACGACCGTGGTGCTTGAGAAAGTAAGCAAAGACAAAGTCGCAAAGAAAACGAAGCTGAAAACGATCAAGCAAAGATCCGCGGTGCCCCACATGTGTAAAGGCTCACTCGCCGGCAAAGTTTGGGAGACATTTGCTGCTGTGAGAAGAACACGAGAACCGAACGAGATCATAGAAACAGCTTTAATCGTCGGTCTGGATCGCCTAAATGTATCTACGTGTTGTGAGACTTTGAACGACAGTGCATTCTGTGATGAAACCGATTCTTCGAGCAAGCTCGACAGCAGCGTCACGAAAGAAATTAGTGGTGCAGAGAAACGGACAGGTTTGTTTTCAATTCAATTTTCTTTCAATTGGTGCGTGAAGTACACGATATTCATATTTGTTGATTTAAAAAAATCTATTGAAGAACATGATAATTATATAATTGTTGAAATAGAAATACTATATAAATATAAAATATACAAAAAATAGTATAACTATGTATATCTGCGACTTTGTTCCCACATAAGAACTTGAAATTGAGTTCTAAAGAAAAATAATTGTTTCTAAATTATTATCTTCAGAATAACTAAGAAATTTAACGATTAAGTTATACAGAATATTTTAGAAACTAACTTAAATATTTTAAGTTTTTAAATTCTTGAATTTTTTAAGTTCAACGTTTGATAACGTTCATACGATAACGGCTAGTTTAAACAAAGATACCTGAATCTTTCCATAGCCACAAGATTGTTTTGAGAATCTTACAACTTGGTTTAAAATATTTCTAAAAAAATCGACGAAAAAAAGTAATTGACATTGACTCAGTACTTGTACAGATTGCTATTTAACAACAGACAGAGGCAGATGGAATATTTTTTAAGATTTACATAATCGTGTAACTGAAAAATATTTTTGTCTGCTTTATTCATAAGAGTCGGGTTTAATTTAAACCACGGAATTTATAAAATGGTTAATAGTTGTACAAGTTGTAATCGAGAAATCAAAATTTTCATTAAAGCTTCGAACTGATAAAAGGTTAAAAATACGAATTTATTGAATACAGTAGAATAAATTAATAATAAATTAATAATAATGAATTGATAATTATTTACCTTAACTTTATTCACTTTTGAAAATAGTTAGTTTTCGGGATTCATTTACTCGTGACATATTTAAAATTATGAAATTCTAAAATTTTTAATTCCTAAATTTATGGTCTCAAAATTTTTAAGTTTCATGGTCCTATTATATTAAAATCTTAAAGCCTGAAATTCTAAAGTATTAAATCCGATAGACTTAAAATTAAAAAATCTCATTGTGCTACAATTATAAAATCTCAACGTTTTAAAATTTAAAACTCTAAAATCTCTTACATTTAGCAATCCGAAAATATTAAAATTCGAAAATTGAAAGTTCTAAAACTAAAAAATGTTAGTCCCCAAATTTAAAAATATTTATATCCTGAACTTCAGCACTTCCGAAATTTTAAAATTCCAAACTCCGAGATTAAAAAATTCCAGTTTCAAACTCTCATAGTACAAGTATTCCAAAATAAAAAAATTTTTAAATGAAAAAGTTCCATAATTTGGCAGTTTCACTATGCCATTTTTAACCTTCCAAAGTTTAAAATTATAAAAATTATAAAATTTCGAGCTACAGAAGTTTAAACGTTACAACATTCCTAAGAACGTTCAAAGATGCCGAAATTTCTAACTTTAGATATCCTCAACATTCCCTTATTACTTTGCAATTAATGTTTATAGCAATCCATTGAAAATTAGCTTGTGACTCACACGTGCTTCTGGAATTTCCATGTTGGTTAATTTTCTTGGATATATGAAATTTGTATGTTGGGGAGGGGTGGAGGGTAATTTACAAGCAGATATCATCACTTTCTCTATTAAGATATTTTCAGTCTAACTGTATTATTTGGTATGTAATATTGTTACTTGCTGTAGCCTTGTCAAGAATTTTCCATTGTCGCTTATTGTGATCTACAGTGATTTTAGTAGGATGCGATTGACACAATCACAGCTATTCAACGATAAAGATTAATAATAATTTTCTAATTAGTTTATTGAGATTTGAACTTTGCAGAATGATTTGCCATTTAAGTGTTATCACAAACGAGTTTCACCTGCCTACAATTTCAAATTGTTTTGTAAACCACGCGTTTCATTCAAATTTCTTACCATTTACACGTACAACAGATTCTTGTTATATTGCCACCTTTATGTGGACTTTCACTAATGAACCTCTAGTATTGTAGGAATCCAAAGAAACCATTTCAGTATCATTAAAGAGAAAACTTATTGGTAATAAATTATCAGTTTTAAAAATTTCCAGCTCTTACAACACGCTAGATGCTAATATAACGAATGTCTACTGTATCTCATAAACAGAACCTTGCGACTATACAAATACGACGTGTCTAGACAAAATTAGATCAGAATGTACTGGAAATTGTAGGTACGTACTCGTGTAGATGAATTGTGAGCCTCTACGTCTACTTATGTGGTTTTCATCATGTCTTCTTCTTGAAAAATAATACCTACATCTCTAGTGTTAATTTTAAAATTAACACGTCGAACATTGTAGGAGTATTTTTGTAGTTTCAGTTTTTTTATAGAAATAACTCTTAGTTTTGATCTGCTTGTAATTTTTAAATAATTTTGATTACAATTTTTTATAATCAACAGTTTTATTATATTTTTATTTTTTAAATAAAATATCACTTTTTTTTATCATTTCAACCGGAATGTTAATTAAGATTTTATGATTGTAATGTTTTTACATTTTGGGATATATTTTTTAAACAACGTAAACAAATCTAAAAGTATTCTATCTTTGATTAATTCAGAGTGAATTAACTTTCTTTATAAAACGAAACTCCGTAAACTGCAAACCGATTCGATTTAGATTGAGTTAGATTAGGTTGTATATTTGTAAACACTATCTAACCTAACTTGACTTAAGCCGAATTAATTAGTAAGTGGAATTAGCAGGCCGCGTCAGATTACATTTAAAAAGAATATATTCAAAATATAGTATTAATGGGTATAGTTAAGTTATTCTTTAAAAAAAATGACTTGACCAAACCTGTTACCATTCTGTTTCTAATTAACACAAAAAGGATTAATTTTTGCATAAAAAGAATATGATAAATTACAAAATCATTCAGTTTGGGATATGTTAAGTCAGGCTAGAGTTCCGTTATAAAACAAAATTAAACAAAAAATATATCTTGCGTTCAAATGATGTGTAAAAGCGTAATGAAAATTCAGTTAATGTTTTGTACAGTCAAAATTTGTCATTAATCATAAGTCATTAAAATGTATTTTCTTTAAGCAAGGTATATATTGTATTATACCTTATTTTATACATTATCAAGTTAACTTTGTCAATCTACATACTTATATATTATTACAAGTAATTAATTATCAGGACCTTATAATACCTAGCCTGATTTACATCATTATTTACAAAATCATGGTTTTATGCGTATTTTGCTATAAATATATTATTTTTTATTTATTTTTAATAAAGTAATTTCATGAAAAATGTATATTTATGTATACTAAAGTAAACTGTTGGATTAATAATAAATAAAACGGGAATAAAAAATAATGCATTTATAACAGGTATCGAAGAGTAGTAGATGCAGATTATCTCATTATCAATATTATTATATTTTTTGTATTATTCTCTTATCATGTTCTTAATATGAACTAATTATTTATCATTGTATTAAACAATCTAGTAATCAATTTATTTAAAATTGTTAAAAAATTAAATATATCCAAGTTTTGCTTATATGGTGGAATAATTCATTATAAATGTAATATCTCTGGTCGTTTATATATCGAACCGATAAATGATTTTTCAATCACTTCTTGTCATGAAGAATGCGCTGTTGTGTTAGAAAAATCGAATGATTTGAAAATTTGGAATTTGAGACTTTGAAAATTTGAGTATTCAGAAATTTAAGAATTTGGATAATTTGAAAATTGGAAAATTTGGGAATTTGGGAATTCGGAAATTCAGAAATTTGAGAACAGGAACATTTAAAAAATCTTTAAATGGTTAAATTCAAAGTGAATAAAAATTATTACATTTATTATATAATAAAATGCGTATAAAATAATGCAAATAATCAAAATAATGTAAAGAGTCAAAACCTGGATGGATCAATTTAAAGTCCAATACGTTTAACATTATGCTCCATTCACCGAATAATTAATTCTAGTACTTATACAACATCACAATATGATTTTTCAAACTTTAAATGCATTTTTTCCGTAAAAAATTAGTCATCTGAGATTAGAACTACGGATACGTTAATTTCACCCGTAAGACTATTATTTCGTTGAAATTCGTGAGATCCAACTCGGAAGCATTCCTCGTTAAACTTGGTTCATTGACCTTCATAACATATAGAGTGCCTCAGTTTTTTACCCTGAAATTTTATCAACATGTTCTATGAGTGAAAATAAGAAAATGGTGTTATATTAACATAGAATTTGAAACAGTTTACTGAAAAATTATAACGAAAATACGACACGAGATGGATCTGCCTTGTTCAATGTCCGTAAAACTATGCCATCATATTATAGAATACAGAAATTATTATCATAGAATATCATAATATAAAATTATTTATAGAAAGGTATATGAACAGTACAAAAATCAATAATTTATTCTACAATATCGAATACGAAAATTGCCTATTTTCATTTTACACATTCACCATGACTTTTCAATAAAATATTAGAGGACTTAAGTTTATATAGTATTTTCTTATCACATTTTCCATAATATGGTAATGTTTTACCGACAAAACTGGAGCAACCTATTTGCGGAATCGAACACGGTAGTCTGTTGTAATGTCCTATTTTTAATAAAACCTTTAAAACCCTATGTTAACATAACATTTTTTTCTTATTTTGTATATAGAATATGTCGATAAAGTTTGACAATGGGAAACTCGGGCGCTGTATATATAACTAGTGGATTTATATATCAAGTGCTTCACGCGAATTCAATTGCGTATTTTAAATTTAGAGTACCTATTGTAAATTTATAAGTTGCAAACGATACCAAACATAATTATTGTTGATTTGATTACAACGAACATCGACGACGATAGTTGAATACTTTTTGCCCTGAATGTCACCAAAATCTATATATCAAATTTAGAACATCTCACGAGTCTACCCTAGTAACATCAAGTCAAAAAACTCAAGCGGCTTGTAGTGTAGCACAGACAAACAAACAGACAAATAAACAAATGCACATCGTGTCGTTCCAAATGTCTCAATATGTTCGACAAAAATTTTGGAA